GTTCGTAGGTAATAAAGTCCATGAAATGTTCCAGGAGCAATTTCTTTCAGATTATTATGTGATAGATCGATAGCTGTTAATTGGTACGATGATGAGTTTCCATTGAAAGCAAAAGGATGAATTCTGCTGATGTTGTTGTTTGAAGCGAAAACACCCCAAAGTGAAAATAATGCAACAGGCGGATCAGCATCGGCTCCCAAATCTAAACTTTCAAGACGATTGTTACTTAAAGAAAGTATAGTCAAAAATTGTGGACCAGTAAACATTCTTGGCGGTAAAGAGACAAGAAAATTGTTTTCCAAAACTAGAGAACTTAAGCTTATTAACGTTGAGAAAATATTTTCTAGTAGCTGAGTAATCCGATTGTTCTCGAGATGAATTCTATTTAATACATTTAAATTAGCGAATGCGTTCTCTGGCAATATTGATATTAAGTTGTTTGAAAGACTCAAAGCTCTTAAAGCTCTCGGTCCACTAAAGGCATAATTTTCAATTGTTTCGATAGCGTTTTGTCTCAAATTTATTTCAGTAAGCAAGAAACAAGCACTGAAATGCCGAGGGACTCACGGAGGTGGATCTGGAGGATCTTCTCCTTTTCATGAGAACGGGTGTCCGCTCCACCTTCTTCGACTTCTTCAGCTGACGGTGAGACCAGGGAGATGGCTGGTGAGTGTTCTCATCTTCAGAGAACTTTATCTCTGAAGATTTGTAGAATAATTCCCAAATATCCCCCATCTTCCTGTTCTTCGCGTTGCGGGATCTCTGATCAAATTATTCTGTTTAAGGCATTAAAACAATTCTCATTCTTTATGCTTCACATAAATCAGCAAAAGAACTAGGAATTAACAATTTAACATTGAAGGCAAAATAGTTTCTGTCGAAATTTCTTAACATCAGTCATCAAAGGACGAGATACAGGGAGCGAAACAAGATGGGGTTAACACCCCTATATTCTTAATCGCTTTAGTGTACTGGTTAGTACACTCCCTACTCTGATGATGATGAAGTTAACAAACATTAAAAGCTTAAAACTGTATTGACAATTTCACTTTCAAAACTTTTATTTTCCGCTTATCAAAAATTTAAACGTGAAAAGCTTCAATGCTTCAATAATTTTTAATTCGAATTTCTAGTACCTGTGAAGGTTCAATTACATCAAATTATAGAAAAACTCACAACGTTGTGACATTTAAAAATAATTATTTAAAATTACTTTTTTGTTGTATATTTTTATGTTTAATCCTTTAATCGTAAGCATGAAACGTCAGATGAAAAAGTAATGAGCATTACTTCTAATGACAGCATTTGATCCCTGTTTTCCATGGGTTCTGTTATTGTAAGATTTAGAAGCTTTTAAAACTTAATTTTCTTGAATCATAATATGCACCTAAACTTTCCTTCCTAATTTACCTAACATGATCTAATTATATATTAAGATTTAATTTTCATCTTTTATTTCCAAAATATTTAAAATCTAATGATTTGTAGCATATAAATTAAAAGTTATTTATTATTATCAACATGCCAAAAATATTAAAATTCTTAATCATCTTTTCAAATATCATCATGGAGTTTTCGTGTATAGACTAATGCAGTACTCACTTTGCATTTCTCATAACTTTAAACTCAACAAAATGTGGCAATTTTAAGTCAGACAATATCTGACTGCATAATCAATATTGAGCGGCACAGTACAGTTTTGGCAAATGTTTAATTTGAATGCTTATTCAATTTTATTATAAAATTCTAAACGCTTTTCAATAACATTACATTAAATTAATTAAAGTTTTCATTGATTGATATTTCTTCTATTTGAATACAACTTCCTTTTTTATTTCCCATTGAAAATTTTTTAAAATGAAACATCCTTGGAAGTCTAACTAAGTGCTGATTTAAAAAACNAAAATATAAAATAAATATAACATCCTATTTATAAGCGTTTTTTCGTTTTTTAATTTTCATCAGTTCTACTTAGTCTCGAACCGGCATCGTCTGTTTCATTTTCCAACTCCTGTGCCTCTAAGCCAAATCGTCTTATGTACAGTTTTGGCAAATGTTTAATTTGAATGCTTATTCAATTTTATTATAAAATTCTAAACGCTTTTCAATAACATTACATTAAATTAATTAAAGTTTTCATTGATTGATATTTCTTCTATTTGAATACAACTTCCTTTTTTATTTTCCCTTGAAAAAATTTCAAACCTGAAACATACTTGAAAGTCTAACTAAGTGCTGACTTTAAAAACCGGCATATTACGAACTTATCAAGTAATTTCAAATTGATTTGAATTTCTTCCTCTAGAAAGTCATGAGCTAAACTTCACGGAATTTCTTTACAATTGCCTTGGAAGTTTAGCACATGGCAATCTTAAGAAGAGAACACAAGGAAATTTTAAAAATTGATTTCATTTTCATCATATTGCCAACCTTTGATCAAGATTGGGCAAAATTTGACGGAATTGCTTCCCATTTAAATAAAAAAGAAAGCCGATGATGAAAATGAAATTGCAATCTCCGCTTGTGCCGCTCGGGAATAATTAGATAGACAGGTAGCGGAATTCCAAATCTTCTGAAAATCAAACTTTTTAGAATTTTATATTAAATGTACACAAACTCTTCGGTATCGTTTTTACAGCATTTTTTATTCATATCTTGACTCATAAATTTTATTTCAGTTAAAAATACAATTTTCATCCACTATAGTAACACTAATTTTTCTTTCAGTTGATTTCTTATCACAGATTTTCCACCACAAACCAACATTTTATCCAACAAACAAACATCTCTTCAATGCTTTATTTTCTCTTTTATTTAGCACTTCATCTTACTACTGTAAAGTTTGGAATTTACCTGAGCTGCAGTCTGCAAATATATTTTTTTTGCTTTCAATTGTGTATAAAATGAACATTGTAAAATCTAATTTCTTTGCGCTTGATTACAAATATTTAATTCACATTCTTGTTTAAGTAACAGTAACATAAAACATGGAGTGTGCAACATAAATTTGCATGTAGATACACAATAACATATTTTCTTATTATCATTTATAAAATTTAATGTACAATTATCAATTTCAATGGCAACGAAAATATAAATTTATGTTTTTGATTCAAAACCACAACAACATTTTATCGAAAAAAACCTCAGAACAGGAAAGAAATTATTGAAAATTTCCTAACATTTTATAACAATCATTTACGTATGTAATCAATCATGTGCGCTGAAATTATCAAAAAATATTTGCTTTGTGGTGAAAAAGAGTTTTCCCAGAAACTTTTTTCTTTATAAAAATCCAACTTTCACGTGAATCACTTGAAGTTATGTTCTCCAGAAGTTTAATGCATTTTCAAAAATATTATTTAAAACTTTCAACAAACATCATCATTTTCAATGTTTTTTTAAACAAGTTTAAAGTGACATAACATTCAAACAATCCCCGTAGTATTTATTATTTTGACTCCTTATGAAAGGAAACTTTAATCATAATTAAAAAATAACATATTTATCATATTTTTGATGTACATAAATTTGGCAACAATGCAATAAAAATAAAATTATTTATTTTTTTATTCTAAGCCTTCCCGCTAAGCTTTTACCATCCGTTGATAATGCCATTTTCAACTTTTGGTTTAATAAAGTTAGCTGAAGCTATGGCATTTTTAATAAGTGTTGGCGTGTAGTTAACGTTGATACTTATCGGATGAAGTGGAGGCAAATGAGCATAAGTTTTACTCAACAAATCAACACCACCAAGGAAAGGAATCAGCAAGTCGTAATCGACATTTAACGGAACATAAAAGCCTTGAGTGTGACACGCAAATACCGGAATGGGAATTGTGTGATGTGGAATTATTGCGTTGCCATTGATGTTTCCATTGACCGTGCCGTTGGGAATTTTACCATTACGTTGTGTAGCATGGGGAGGTTGTTGGTGTGCAGGTGAAGGTGAATTTACGACTAATATCTCATTCTTGATGTCATGGTGAATTCCATTCCTTTTCGCTGCATCATTGACTGGAGACGTGGGTGTTGTTGACTTCTTATCATGATCCTTCTCATGATCTGTTACACATTGATTCGACTGCATTGATTCTTCACTATGATATGTCTCATGAGTGAATCGTTGTTGAATGTAATTTTTAAACTTATAATTGTTGTTGCAATGTTCAACATCAGTTGATGTCTCCGACAGTTTTCGCATTCGAACTGTTCGAATGACATTTTCATGAGCATGAGGTGGTGACAAATTGCTTAAATGATGATTAACATTGGCTGGTGTCATTCGAATTGAATTGGTTGATGTTGTTCCACTGCTTGTTGTTGGCGAACGTGTGCTGTCATAATCACTTGTATCCATATGATGAATATTGTTGGACGGAACGACGCCTGTCGAGCTGACTGACGGTGCTTGTTGTGGATTTGAACGGAAACTCAAATCTTTTATATCATGATGATCGTCACTGTTGTGTTCAACATCGGATACTGATGTCGTTAACATCTCACGTAATTGTGATAGTGGTGGATTTGGATGATGATATGAAGTTGGACTTCCAGCGTTTATCATGTCACCATTGCACCGCGTCTTAAAGTATTCGCCTAAAAATAACAGGAAATCGTTTTTAAAGATTCTTCAATGCCAACAAACAAAAGGACCATAAAGTGATAGTTTATAAGAGTTAAGTTTCAAAGCTCCACCATCAACCGCAAATAGAGTTTAAGCATCTCTATAAAGCACCAGGCAATGAGACAACATGAAACTTTTGAATTTTTGATTCAAACCTCACATAAGCAACATTTTGTCTCCTAAAAATTTAGAATGATTTTGAAATTTAAGGGGAAAACCAGGGAGCTAGCCCTCAATAGGACGCTCATCAATCTCACCTTTCATAGCTTCATTCATGTGTTCCCTTAAATGCGTGATCATTTTATAGTAAAGCTCTTCATCGCGTTCTCGCAGCAGAAATTTTGCAGCTTCTGTCACACAGTCACTGTAACCAGAACGGTAATAATCAGCATAAGTTGCTTCACGTAGTACTTCTTGTGTTTGCAAATTTTTCAAATGTCTGATAGCCATTTCAATAATTTCCGTCTTTTCGACACGACCGCGACCTTTTCGCATGTACTGCGATGGAATTAATCTTGAAAGATCTGCAAGACATGCTAAAAGAAGAAGATTTCATTAGGAAACAAACTTGAATGAATTGCTATTTTTTATCTACTTTTTTTTTCAATCATTTTAAATGAAAAATATTGACAAAAAAAAGAAGATTTTTCAGATAAAGTTTAAACAAATCTTGACCACCAAATTGGGTGAGAAATAAAATAAATTCTATTTACCGTTCATTCTATCACGTCGTCTTTTCTCAATAATTCTGTGACTCAGCGGATCTTGCTATTGAAATAAGAAATATGAATATGTCATTTACATAAACAAATTAGAAAGACAAAGATCTGTGACTAACCCGTGAAGCTTTTCCACGTCGATTCCCTGCAAAATCTGCGTCATCTTCGCTGTAGTTGGTGGCTGAAAAATTCAAGCCAGGATCTGAGCAGTAAGGAAATGTGCCAGACGTTGCTTCACTGCAATGGAAAAAATGAACACAAAAATGTTAATGAAAAGTACCGTAAAAAATAAAATGAAAAAGAGAGAAAAAATATTGGCAACGCCTTGCTTATTGCAGCATAAAGTTCTCAATCACTTTGCAATTGTTTCAGGCATTCAAGCTTAGATTGTGTCATTGAAAGTTCCGATTACTTCCTCGTCGCTTTTAGTAATGTAGAGTTACAGTAATAAAAATACATAAAAAAATTAAAATAATCTTTAGTCACTTTAGCTGTTGCCATTTTGCTATGCTAATTAAGTGACTGCTATGCGTTGCATATGTGAATTGCTGAATACTGATTAGCTAGTCGTCTCACGAGTTCTTTAGAAAAGAATCAAGTCGTTAGAAAATTCTTTGTTCATTTCAGCTTTCTTCTTTGTCGGCAAGTAATGCACATTATTTATTGAAGTTTATTGGGGGGGATTTTAAACCACACTCCTTGACTTTTTAACATGCTTTGCTCGAAACTCATTATAACATTCTCAAATGCAGGTCGCCAACAAACAATCGACCATGAAATATAAAACTGGTCGACTGCAGATACTTGTTAAGTACAATCGAGAACAATTATCGAGTGCAAACGTGTCAATTTTAACTCAATAGTTTGTCTCTTGTTGATTGATGAGTGGGAGTAAAGTAACGAGTTTCTTGAACTCCATTTCAAAGCAACTCATTCATCAAGTGGTTCAACTATAAAGCTGTTTAATGCAGTCAGCTTCCTTTGAACCTACTTAGATTTTAATTAACATATCTCTCATGACGGAAGGGATTTTTTAATTCTTATTATTTTATTACTTCTAGGTAGTTGTGTGAATATAAATAAGTATTAAAACAACATAAATATTTGACGACAAATGTGACCTTCATAAATATAATTTATTATCTGCTAATGTAATTTCATTTGTAATAACAAGAGAGTAATAACGTGAATGAAAACACTTAATTAAATAGTTAATATTTATTGAAAATTTCGTCTCGAGACTGAGCAAAATGAGTGAATGTGGAATCTTTTTAATGATTTCGTTGAAGCGTGAGAAAAATAATTGAACTTGAATAATGTAAAGTTAGTTGAATTTCCGTTTCTAATCGATACTTAATTAATCTCTAGAAAATATTTTAATGTTTTTAAGTGTATGAAGTTCAAATATGACGTATTTACAATCTTTCTACCTTTATTGACATTAAACTTTTATTTTCAACCTGTGCTGGTCATTGGGAAAAAATATTTCGCAAAATAATTATTGATTTGTTTGACAAACTCGTGAATCATGATCGTTGCAAGGCTCCAGCCATCTTAATTTAACTTGTCTCGAGTATAAAATATACTCCCAGGTACTTTTCAACAAAAATTCAAATGAATTTTCAACGATTTATTTAAAGTTTAAGCACCAGAAAAGTATGGCGAATGATTGCGAAATGCTAATAAAACTATCAATGCGAGTTCGTTCTGTTGTTTACTTAACCATTTTAAATTCATTCACATTTTCATTACGACTTCCCTGCCTACAGATATATTTAAAAAGAAAAAAATATCCACAAACCAGTCACATGATGATGAATAATGCAAAATATTGTTTTTAGAAGTCTTCAATTACTCCAGTTTGTATTCATTCGACGATCACGCGGAAATTTCAGATGCGCTTTTAAAATGGATTCACGTGTCTGTTCATGCTTTGCTTTGTGCCTGCTCTCATTAACGAAAAAAAACTTAATTGACTTATTTTTGTTTACAATCTAGATGTATAAGTAGTACGAGGTTTCGTTAAAAAAAAGCTTGTTTAAAGTTCAATGGTCTTTGAAGCGAATTAAATTCTATTTGAAACTTTTTTCGTTTCTTTGAATTTTTTTTTCTTTCCACCCTCATGAAATACCTTGAAAGGAAGTTTATAAGAATGCAGTTTAAGTCATTTCGAATCAATCTGTGAATTCATTAATTAATCATCGACTGAATGTCGTAAAAAATTTGGATAAATAAAATCAAATATTTTCATTCATTTTCATAAAAATAGCAATTTAGAAAATGAAATGTTTTTCGTGCTCTGATTCAGTTTGTGAGGGTTTATCATAAATTGATGTCAATGACATGTGTTGACATTACGAAGCATTAATTCAATCATTGATTGATTTTTCCGACACGAACGTCGCATTAAATTGTTCGAAAAAGTTTTCATTGCATTGTAAATGTGGAGACGACCTAAGAGACCAAACTGAAATTTTCACGACCTTCTCCATGGTGACAAATTGATTTACGATAAAAAGAAGAACAAAATATATATTTAGGAAAACAACGTCACTTCTACACTATTCAAGCTGTTTCAAAAATAAAACCAAAATATGACCTAAATATCTTGTAAATAAACAATTTCACAGACAAAAAAAGGTTAATTAATGAAATGTGACAGGTTCAATAAGCGACAATGTTCAAATGGATAATGATAAGAGTTTAATGTGAAATTCATGTTCCAACATTAAGTAAGAAGAAAATCACAGTAAAATAATTAATTTTGACATTGTTTCTGTCGCTGTTATTTACTCAGGAGAGGGTGGAAGAACTTTCGAGATAATCACAGCGAGAAATGAATCTCTTAAAAATAACGAAAGAGGATTGTGACTGTCTCGACGATAGAAGAGAAGAAAAAAATTAGTTTTATAAGGGTCGAATGGAACATTTCGCAGAAATGAATAAAACGTGCTTCGTTGAAGATACCAATCAGACAGTTGACAACAAGGTAGAGTCATCGTAGTTCTGTAACGTGTTAATCTTTACGATTCATTTCAATGGATGAATCTGTTACTGGTTGCGATTGAGAATAAACATGACTTTCAAAACGATGAAGATCCGCGAGAAAATTAATGACAAATTGTGAAATGACTCGACAAGAAATGATGGGAAGAATAATGACATGAACGACTCATGGTGCCGATTACGGTTGAATAAATGTAGAGATAAATGTTTAAGCACGATTTTTGACTAACTTTCAACATAGCACGTTTCTCTTTTTGTACATTTTCATACATTCCGTCATGACTGATCTATCCTTGAATTCGAAACTTGAACTTTTTGATCGGGAGCGAAAAATAATATGGAACGAGTTCAAGCACGTGAGCTTTCAAGAAAATATAAAAGTAGAGCTATTAAAGAATATATGGGCGACAACTTGAAACCAGATTTAGCCACGATTGCAATTTGCAATTTACCAACCACAGTTCAATAAACCACGACAAGTACAATGGTTTGAATACGCGAGCAATTTACTTGCCGACGCAACTCTGTTGGGATTTACGTGAATGGCGACGATTTTGTCGCTGAATCGTGATGTTTCAGTATTACTGATGATGTCAACCATAAATTATTTTCCACGCTGCTACATTTCGAAAGCTTAACCGGTTATGCTCGTCAAATCTAAATTGACTCCTTGCAAAATATAAAAAATCTTTTCTCATCTGCAAACTCGCTTATTGCATTGCAAGGTAACTCTGCAACTTTGTACAATTCTTGAAAGATTTGGATGATCCGATTAAAAGATTTCTGTACTTGTTGTATACATTCTTGCAATTTAGTTTAAAAGTGTTGGATAAAAGCCAAGTATAAAGGTTGAAGAGAACGGGCGACGATTTTTATCACCCGATGTGAACAGCAATGCTGTATGTGTAAGACTGCATCAGATAGAAATAAATCGTGAGTTAAATCTCGTGAATGTTTCTTTTACTTAAGAAAAAATCCACTTTAAGAATGCAGGAAATGAAAGAAGTTGCGTATTTTTTGCTTGTCATGTGGTGTTGGTCAATTTAATTTATATTTTAATATCACATGAAGGCTACTCAACTCATGTCTCTCGTTTCTCAGCGTTTTGTGTTTTGTTCTTCTTTATGCCAAAGTTATTTGAGTTAGCGTTATAACGACCTCACTTCAATCGTCGATTTACGTTTACAAAGTGTTTATGCAATTAAAATCAAACTGCTCTGTTATTTAAATTTTTTTTGCAGTTGAAGATTGGTTAATTAATTTTTTTTCATTTTTCATTTCTCGTTTGTACATAATTTGAATGTTCATTCTTTGTTTTGTTTTTATTATTCAAGAATTGGATCATGTTTGGGCAAATAATTAAAGCAATGTGACGGAAAAAGCACGAACAAAATACTCAAGTTTCTGGCTCGTTAGCACATGACACTTTAATCAAGATTGATAATTCACATTGAATAAATAATTCAATTCACAAGTTGTGAACCAACGCTGCTTATTTGATTTACAGAGATTTCTGTTTGAAGTCAATTCCTTGGAATCAAAACTTTTTCGTATATTTTTATAATAAAGGTGAAAACAAACAATACAAAACATACAATTCTAAAAATACCAACGATTGACGATGAAGTTTTCTATTTATTTCTTCTCCGTTCTCGTGCTGTTGATAATAAAAGCTTCACACTTATTTAATGGGGAGAAGAGGCGCAAAGTCGTCATCACCACATTCAGAATGATGAGACGACAGAAAAGAAAAGAAAAACTTTAAATCTGTTTTCGGTTTCTCAGAATTGGAGTTTCAGGGCGAAGAAAAATACGAAAAAACTTATTTTTGCTATTGATCAAAACCACATAAACTCGCGTGACTCAAAACGTGACGCAAGCAGATTCGTTCTTATTTTTTTTCAATTCCCCGGCTATTTGAGCGCAAAACATTTTCTTCACAAGCAAAAAAAAAAGAAGAAAAAATTGCAAAAACGAGAATCATTGTGAAGGTAAACGAGACATAGTATGCTTGTGTCGGCTTTTACTTAATGCTCTTCTCGTCTCGCATCTTATTCCTCATTTCAGAAGAGGAAAAAATAAATCTTAAAAGTGTTTTATTAATGGATTCTTTGCTGAATGTCTTCGTCGTTTATTTTTACATTCCACTTCTTTACAAGGTCGCTGTCGAATCCATTTCTCATGTCTTTTCTTCGCATTTTTCACTCGAAATTTATTTCCTTCATTGAGTGAGATGGAGAAGAGTAAAGTTACTTCGTTCATAAAAATAAATCTTTATTTTGAGTAGAAATAGAAATATACAAAGTATCTTAATATGATCTTTGCGATTTTCTCATTGGATTCATTCTTGGAATGATTAAATATTTTTTTTAAATTCTATTTGCAAAAGACATTTTGACATCATCTTAACAGATAAACAAAATATACATCTAAGCAAGAAAATCTCTAGAATTTTAAAAGAAAACAAAACAAACTAAATAAAAACAAGAAGAAGAAGAAGAAGAAGTTAGTTAGTCTGCAAAAAAAGTTATTTTATTTATTTTGAAATGTTGCGACTTTGCTTTAGAAGAGGAAAATCATTAAAGCTTCCAACACTTAGCGTGTCAAGAAGTTAACACGATAAAACATTAATTTAGAAGAAATCAAGGTCTGAAGTTTAACTGACGTGTTGAATTTGTTAAGGAAAAAATGTTTCTGAATATTTTTAAGAAAGGGTGAAAGTTAACAAGTAAAATAAAAAATAGTTTAATTAGGAAAAATGATTTTCTACTATTTAGTAGATAACTAAGAAGCAAAGCTAAATCGTTTCCGCATGTTAATAACGATCCGTTAAATCTCAAATTTGTCCCAAATAATTCTCACGTTCTTCTGCTTACAGCTTAAATTGTAAATCAAGGAGAGAGTCTGAAGAAAAATAAATTTTATCATCGTATTTTTAGCTTTTAAAAGGAGAGAAATCGTAAACATTCTTTTACTTCTCCGTATCTTTGCGTACAGATTTGCGACATTTTAATAAATTGAAAGCATTAAAATGAGAAAAGGAATGAAATCTTTTTATATTCCTCCAGGTAAAGATGATCGTAAAAAAGAATTCAAACAACGTCATTAAAACAAATCACTACGACAAAACACAGAAAAACGTTTTTTCTTCTTCTTTTTTTGAATGAAAATCTCAGATCAGTCAGATCAGTATTTTTTTTTCGTTTGACTACCTGCTTCCAAGTTCCATCCTGTGATCATAAACATAAACATCGAATCACAAGAAAAAACCGTAAACTCATCAGTGCATAAATGCGCTGACTATCGAAGGCAGAAATATTGCAACTTTATGACATTCATCTGTCATTTAATCCGTCTGATTCACTCAATTTAATGACATGAAACGTGATTATTTTTATGAAACCACAATTGGTCGTAAAGTTTGTTTGTTTGGACTTTCTGGAAAACGTCAATGACATTCGATACTCGACAAGAATTTTCGCAATCAAGAAGAAACCTTTCCAATGTGGACGACAGAATCGTAGTCGAATAATTTTCTTTTTATTTTGTAAATAACTCCCACGCAAAATATATTTTTTTAAAACACAACAAGCAATTCTACGTGACTGTCGAGGTCAGTATGAGATTTCGATTTGTTCACCGGACATGCTTTCATCATTTTCCTTTCTACTTAAATGTGCGTATCTTTATTTAAATTATTAACCTTGCCTCCGAGTGACCATGAGTTGTTGCGCAATGGTTCTCTTATTTCTGCTGAAACCATATGAACTAAAAAGAACACGAGGTGATAATCGTGTTTTCGCAGCTTACGAATGTTATCCCGATATTGCGATTTATTTCAATGCTAACTCAAAATGAACGAAAACAAACTTTTTCGTATCAAAATTTTGGAAACATCACGTGGTCTCATGATTTGATTAACAGCGATAGAACGAAGTTGATTGATACGAAATTTTTTAGCTCGAGTGTTTCCTCTAATTTCGAAAATGTGACTCAGCTTCGTTCATCACGTTATTCATTCGCAAAGAATTCTGTTACATTTTGAGTTGAAAAAAAAAATGTATTGAAAATAATATTTAAAACTTTATGTCTGCTACGCTTTTTATGATGAGATCGTGGAGGCACAGAAAGTAAAATTATTGCTTTCTTTCTTCTCGCACATTTTGTCAACAAATTCATTTATATTTAGCCTAGCAATGTCAATCCCGTCATGCTGAAAACATTTACTGAATATTCAATAAGTGGCAAACGTGAAATAAATAAAACTGTTCATAAAGTTTCACACTAGAAACTGTCAATAGCGGTTTCTTTATTTCTTCTACGACAATACTTATTTCTATGTATACATTTTCGCATCATTTATTTCATTTCAACCCCCCCTAAGATAAAGACAGAGTAAAATCACACAAAAGCGAAATTAAAAATAAATAAAGAAGAAAAAAGCAAATAAGATTGCTAAAGTAAGCATCTCAAAAATGTAACCCAATTTTTTTCTGTCGTTTTTCGTCTTCATATGCGCTTCTAGAAGATTAAAATCACGAGGGGATTGAAAACAAAATCTTCTACTCCATCATCCATGACTTGAAAAAGTTTCTTCTCCTCGGTGATAACCAGAAAGCAAACAGTGAAATCTTTTTTACAGCATCAATTCACGAGTCTTTTTCGTTTTCAACAAATTTAAAAATACAATTCTGTTTATTTCGCTGCGTTGGAGCTTTGAATGACTAGAAAGTGAAGAAGGAAGAACAATGTGTAACCACATGTTTTTCGACTTTTTTAATTATATTTTGCAACCGTCGTCGAGTGGTATTTTCCATTGACGAAGTAAGTCTAAGAATTGAAACGACAAACTGAAGTATGTTGAAGTATAGCGACACGTGTTTATAAATGTGAGAAGTTAGTGACATGATCACAGACATTTTTGATCAACTTTTAAAAGTTTCAACTTTTATAATAATAAAATTTAAAATTCATCTGTTTCTAAGAGACGTGTCTGTGTTTGAGATTGCACTTTGCTCGAACTCAAAATAATATTGTTCTATTTGCTTTGTTGCTTTGTCTGATGATTGCGTCAATAAGTTCTGAAGTACTAATATGCTTCACACATAGAAAAACATTTTAAATTGCAAAACGTTTTAAGTATTTGACCTTCGAATTTTTAATATATTAAAAAACGAGTCGTGTGAACTGATAAGGGTTCAGTCATCAGAAAATATTAAACGCTTATATTTATTTTTCTTTCTCATCGCTTGTTGCCTGTTTGCCTTATCAGCTTCAGCACGACACGATATGCTTCCATTTTTTGTGCTTACTTTTAACAGTATGTCGCTTTTATTTCACTAAAGTATCGAATAAAATTTTCGTTTGTTTTATGTACAATTTCGTGTTATCTTATCGTGACATCATGAAACTCATGACAAAACTTAAGTAAAAGATTGAAGTTGAAAGAAAAAACCAAAAAACTTTTGTCAAACCAAAAATAGATTTTTTTTTGTCAACAATTTTAATGAACATTCGCGGAAAGCTTTTATGGGTAATGTTATCATTTTTTCCACCTGACACGTTTTGCTATTAATTTTTTTTTTAGTTTCGTGAGCTGATAACAAGTTAAGAGCCTAAAACCAACAAATTCGACATTAACTGATGAGATCATATTAAATAAAAATAAATTATCTGGCCTTGATATTTCATTTTCATATTTATCAATGTGCAACGTTCAGTTTCAATTGTTAGAATTTTAAAACCAAAGAAAAACATCAGAAACAAAAAGCATGACACGTGACTGTCACTTTAAAATTTATAACATTGCCACCTCATTCATTGTGACTCAACAAAGTCATGACAACATGTCAATAAGTATTTCACGACTAGAAACATTTGTTGAACAATCATTTCATAATTATACAAAGTTTCATGTCTTGTAATTGTGTAATCACGAGATAATATAATATTCGCAACTTACTTTGAAATCGTGTTGAATTAGTTATTGATATGAGACTTTTAAATGTGACAAAGAAACTTCTAAGTTTTTTGAAATTTAGCAAGCTAACAAACTGGTTTATTAACCTTTGCAATTGTTTTGCAAATCACTGAACAGTAATTTTTTTATAGACGCCACGTGATAATAAATATGTCAATTCAATTTATAAGCAACTAAATATGCACAACAAATATTTGATTTCGTTTACATTCAAAGATCTCGTTGTTTACAAAATCATATCAACAATATTCTAAGAATGTTAATAATAAACAAAATAAAGTACTTAAATTCAATTAGGAAGCATTTCTAAGTTATTTCATTAGCATCGAAATAGTTTTATAAAAAAGAGAGAACAAAACTGTTTGCGAAACTGCTTCGTCACTTCACACGAGCGATAATTTTTTTGTTTCTTCTTTTTTTTTCACTACAATGTTATAAAGTTCAAAAAAAAGCATTCAAAAATTTATTTATACCGATCTTAATAAAATTACTTTTTGTATCGTCATTACTGACTAGGGAATAATTTGAGGCCAGTTCCTGTATTTTAATAAGTTCAATTGAGGTTTTTTCATTTGAAATTGAGAGGTCATTCAATCTGTTTGCGTAGTCTGGAGACAAATGTAAATGAAGCTAAGCTTTAAGTATTATTTTGAATATATTTCAATTGAAAGACAAGAGATTAAAAATTACAAAAACACTTCTAAATGAAGCAACAAAGTTTCACATTTGATCATCGTATAACTTTAATTCAAAAGGCAAAACAAGTCGGTTATTAAAAAGACTATAAAGTTTCTCTCTTAAGAAAGGAAAGAAGTCGCTAATTAGATATTTCTGAATGCCAATTCGTAACAACTAAATGACTATTCTCAGCTTATGATGTAAACAATTCCAGAATAAGTTTGTCGTGTCTAAAGATGTGATAAATAAACGTAAAAACCAGATTATATACTTGGATCTCTTAGTAAAGATTTAAATAGACATTTGCACATATGGAATCATTAAAAGGAATGACGTCAGTTAGAATAACTAACTTCTGCATTCCATTCACAACATCGATACAATCGCATGTTGTTTCCCAATCACCATAGACATTCACTAACTCATAAAAATACACGATTCGACAATTAATCAATTCTGAGAAACGAACAAAAAATTGTTTTTGGTAACAGCACGTGTGAAGGAAATTAACAGCAGTTATAGCTGAAAAAGTTTGTTTTCGTTTTTCTTCTCGCGATCAATTCTTTCATCATCTTTCTGGCGTTAAAAATTTTTGCCAGAAGAGTTAACTTTACAAGGTAGTCCGAATCATTTTCGATTTGTTTTCGCTACTTTCGAAGGAATTTATGAATATCCGATTAGTTTTAAGCGAAAATGATGATGATTGGAATAAAGTGAGCAGTTGAAAATCACGAAGTATCAATCGGAAAGTCCGAGAAAAAAATTATTCGCTCAGTCAGTGACTAACTAATTGAAAGCTGAAACATGCAAAAAACGTTTTCTCGTAGGCTTCTGACAAACTCGTGACTCATTCAACAAAATTTCATTCATTTCAAATAAACAAACGGAATCATCGTAGCAAAAAGAAATAAATAAGAGAATAAGATGATTTCAAATTGGTTTCATTTATTCATTTGCAATCAATTATCATCAGACTCGATTCACTTTCTGATCTCATTTTATTTTCTAAAGTACAAAAGTTATAAAAAAGCGCACCGGATGTTGTACGATGACACTCGATGCCAAACAATAATTCACTTAAGTGCCGCCGACTTCATTGCGTGATGCAATTGTGAATTTACTTTAAGTACTCAAGAGTTTTTATGTTAAGTAGTTCCAGGCCATTTTTGAAAATTTAAGTAGAGCACAGGAAGAACAAAAACGTGTATTAAAATTGGCAACGTTGTTTTAGTTAATATGACATCAAAAAATGACGATAAGTGAAATCAAATTGAAAACAAGCTTATCAACATTTGAGACAACTTGAGTTCTAATTCAGATTCTTAATAGCACTCTCGAGGTTGTGATAAGACTCGAATGTAAAATATTTCATTAGAAACAAAACAAATATTCGATTCGTGTTGCATGTAATCACACATACACACACAAGCATGTCACGAGACACTTAACATGTAAGTTCATTCTTGGGAACGTGATAAGCTTTACGAGTAGGGATTTAAGACCAGAAATTTTAATTGATAACGAAGCTTTGTTGCTCCATAGAAACAAAAAAATTGTAAGGAGAGAAAAAAGAGAAAACATTCAGCATGATGTTGTTGTGACGCCAAACAATGAGATTTCATTTTTAAAAATAAATTCTTACGAATTTTATTAACCAAATGGAAAATTTTAATGCACTGTTAATAATCAGAACGTTTACTTTCCGATTTGTCTTTATACTTGTTTATAAACGCAAAATAAAAATGAGAATTTTTAAATTAAATTTCCTACTTAATCACATTATGTCTGTTTGAAAAAGAAATCAGTCTGTTCTTGTGGGTTGTGAAGTGACATAAAAAATATCACATCAGAAGTCGGTCGATGCTATTTTCATCGTTATCATCGCAATTTGTCAGTCACGTATATCAAATATTTACGTTCATTTTTACATTTGACTTTACCATCTTGTTTGTCAACTTAAATTCGATTTAAAGTCGAAGGTTGAAAACAAAAAGAAACAAAATTAGGACGAGAAAATGACGGTCTGGTGCGTTTGACCTTCGCTTTATAATATTTTCTTTGTGACAGACTTTTCACGATGAAAGTCTTTTATGATTTTAAGTCAACATATTTCCTTTAAATAAATGAGACGAGATAGAAGAAAAGTTGTTTCAACGCACCAAGTCAACGAGGAATCGACTACCAACGGGAAGTTAACTTGCCAAGCCAACAATAAACATTAATGGGTCGGATCCCACGTGGCGAATGGAAAAAATTTACGAATAATTTTCATCTTCGCTTTTCCGTTTTCTTCTACAATGTCGGAAGAAAATATTGATTTAGCCTTGAAAGTTGCAAACTGTTCTTCTCTTTCATAGATAAATAAACAAAAGGAAAAAAATTTTTTAGATATTTGTTGGAAGGTTCAATAAAATAATTCCTTTATCCCTTTTTTAAAGATAAAAAAGAAACGAGACGCTTTAAGAATTGATGAACGAATTCAATCTGTAAAACCTAAACCGTTTATCAAAGAAAAAATAAGAAAAAGATTCCGAGACAATCCATTGAAACTTAGAATAACAAAGTAAACAGAAATGAAAATGTTGGAGTGGGAAATTCTACGGTTGTTGGAAAAATTTCCATAGATCGTGATGAAAACTTTCCCCAAAGATAATGAATAAGAAGAAAAGTTGAACTTGAGACTGCCATGATTTCTAAATCGACCTTGAAAGGTTAAAAAACTTTGTCTTGTCTTGACCGTTGGATGAATCCAGACAATGTCCAGCACCTCAAAGAATCGACACAATTTACTTTCATCGCTATTTTATCTCTTTTGAAGTTTTATTTTTCAAACCAACCCACACTTAGAGATAAGATGTGGAATTTCCATTGTGTTGCTTCATACTTGTTGCTACGACAATTGCTGAGATGGTAAATGTCATCATATTAAGTTAAAAAAATTCCATTAAGGACAGCTTTTTACTGAACGTTGACTTAACTGACATGAAATGAAAGCTTTTTACAGAATAACAAGCAAAGAAACAAAAGTAAAAAAGTTTCATTTCAGAAAAAGAAAACACGCTACGGAAACAGAGAAACAAGGATTTAATCATGCAAAACTCTTAGAAATCAAAACCTTATAAATTTACATAAAATTATCATGAACGCTTTCCGTTAAATTCGAAACTTTATAAACTTTCCAAAACTTTCAATTTATCTAATGAAAACATGTCGGACTCTAAAGTATCGAAATTTTATAAATTTTTATTTCATTAATTTCCGATGAAAATAAAAAAAAAAGAAATAAACATTGAAGAATTTATAAAATGTTCAAAAGTCGAAAGAAAGCGCCAACCTTCAAAAAGGTCAAGACCAGCGCCTGACTACACTAAAACGCAACATAATCTAGAAAATAAAATTTATTTTAGCTTTCCGACCCACTGATTAGACGGAAAAATTTTCGTTTATAAGCTGAATGAAAGAAAGATCCGTCGACGGGTCGATGGGAAGAAGTTAAAAATAAAAGTTTTGTGAGTTTGGACATTTTCATGTCGTGAATAGAAAATGAGGGTGAGTAAAATTAATTTTCGCTTCGCTATGAGCGCCGCCCTGCTTGGCAACGTTGTCGATCTCGTGTTCGACAGCGTGCTTTGAAATGTGAGTTCCGATGGAGAAAAGAAGAAGAATGAGTATGAAGCTTGAGGTGGCATAACTTGACTTGTTCGACATTCGCTTGAAATGGTAATCAGATGTTGGTACACGTGACTATCAACGCCGTCATGAAGCTATTAATTTGCTTTATTTTTTCATCTCTCGATAATACATACGAAGCTGATTACGTAAAAATAATATAATAAAACGATTAGACATTTTATTTTGGGAATATTTCGTGTTATCTAAAATCAAGGCCAACAGTTTATGAGTTCATAATGTGAACTTCATATTTACAAGCGATTAAGCTTTTTTTTAATTATATTTGAGTTTTATCAACCAAAACTTTTACACTTAAAGTGTCTTATCAAAAGTTTAAAATTTTGTAAAACAAAACCCCAAAAAAAAATTTTTATTGTTCGGTGAACGGAAACCGAATCGATAAAAAAAGAAGCGACGAGCGCACATTTAATCGGCCCGGTTGAATGCACTTGATTGAGGTCAAAAGCACGAGTGAACACGCAAAATAAGCTGATTAATGCTCACCTCTCGAATTTCACCGGATGTGGTGTTTGGGCATGGCCATTCGTCTGTTCCCAGTAAGTGTCCATCTCGGTAATCACGTGAAACTTCAGCGCCTTTTCCTGCTTCAGTTTAGCGGCTTTGGTTGATCGCCCGTTAATCTTTTTGCTTCTTTCTTGAATTATTTTTTTTGGTTTGGTTGTCGGTGAGTTCACCAGACTCACGCTTATCTTTCCTTACGGATGTTTTTCAGATACGAAATTAATTTGAAAGTTTTTTTTCTCGCTCTCTCCTTCTATCTCTTTGTAGCTCAAATCATACACTTTTGATATAAAGGACTTAGTATGATGTTCCAAACAGAACAATAGTGAGTGTATCGAGGTTTTCGATAAAAAATTTTAACACGATATCGATTGTTAGTTATTGAAGTACACATGTAACTTGATGTGATTTCGCAATAAAGTTAAAACTCTCTCTTCAATAAATTGCGAGTTGGTTTTATCTAGTTTCGGTTGCTTTATGTGCTTAATTTGTTTTAGTATCACTTTATTATGTCGTGAACGCCAGAGTTCCCTGAAAACTTATACATTTGCTGTATTTCTTCGACGTTTGCACCGCTTTTCTAACTTAACCGACTTCTCTTTTTTATCTCTTCTTTATTTTAATTATTTTGTTTTGCTATTTTTAAGCTCGTGAATATTTTTGCTACTTTTTCTTATTCACCCACTTGTTAAACTCTTTTTTCCCAATTTTATTTTTTCTTTCACTTGATTTTCAAAAGCAACTGCAATTTAATGCACATTCGAATGAAGAAATGTTCAGAACAACACTTCAAAAAATGCACAAAAGAAAATTCACTTTAACTTTGAATTAAATTTCAAATGGAAATTATAAAAACTTTTTTATTCTTGATTTTTTTCTCGATTGAGAACTTCTGTTAAGAATTAATTGCGGAACAAATATTTTTCCCAACTGACTCGCCTGACGAACTGCTAAAGACTCAAAGTCAAAAGAAACTTTTTTTCCGAAGTTCCATTCATTATATAAATCAGAAATACATTCAAACGCTAGCTCACTGCTTTCCTAACTTTAACAGTGTTAGTATCGTTGGTTGAATGTGCAAGTGTCGGCGGGTGACGTTTTTGATATTATTTTCTCGAGTTCTGTCGGCAAATGACGAGTCAACGAGTGAAACAAACAAAACTGCGATATCAAAATTAATATTAATGCAATTGAGACGCAATTTTCCGTTCCTGCGATCAACTTGAGTCAAGTGGCGGTTGACTGGAATCTTGTGTTATTTTGTAAGCTTTTTGGGTGCGCAGTGTCGTCGTCCTGGTATGAAAATTTCTTCCGTTTCATCTGAAAACGTTAACTAAATGTGACTCTCGCGAAAGTAAAGAATTAGAAGATTGATGACCTTTTTAATGCAACAATTTTTAATATAAATTCAGAATAATAAGAATTAAATATTCCATCAACAATTCCATCATAATAAATATTTTAATTCAATTCATCATTACTCGTTGCTTTTAATAATTTGATCAACGAGACTGATTTCTTAAGTAATCCATCTAGACAGATGTTTCTTCACTTCACTTCACAAAACTGATTTCTTTGAACTCCAGGTCAGCGATAACTGCTTCTAAAAATAGCTCAATACAAGCGATTAAAATCCAATAAAAAATAATATTTATTTTATACTCACACCACGCAGTCAATGGCATTCAAATATCCGAATCATCACAGAATTTTCTCGCAGAAATACTACGAGAGGCGTGAATCGGCATAAAAAGAATCTTCCTTCTTATAAAAATAGACAAAAACAAACGAAAATTGTTTCTCAAGGGTTTTCTTCTTTTGCACTAGGCACGTGTAAAAATAAAATGATTTCGTTACCCTTTTTGCCCCCTCTCCTCCTTCCTTCTCTCCGCAATCTTTCCTCACCCGACTCTATGTCGGTTTAGTGTAAGAAGAAGAAGAAGCCGACCAAGTCGGGAACATTATTTTTTATTATTATTTTCCTTTTCGTGTTAAACGCGACGAGAATCTCATACACTATCCCGGCATGTGTACAGACGCGAGACGACGACATCAAACACAATGACAACACTTTCTGTATCAACATTCACGCTCTGACGTCATTAAATTTCAAACACGCGATTAAGGCATGGAAAGAGAATTGAACAAAATCACGTGTCAAGCATGAAGTGTAAGTGATTCACACGCTCTTTTGCTTTTGTCCGAAAGCACCAAACTTCTCGTAATTCATTGTATTCAATATGAGCGTGATGTGATTGTTTTTCTCCTAAATCTGATATTTCCATCTACAATTCAATATATCCAATCAGCTAATTCGTGTTGAAAACATTTAAGCAAGAATTATGTTATTAAAGTTAAATGCAATGAACTTTCAATGTAAACACGATTGAGTGAAAGCAAGAAATTTTATGATTTTTGATTTCATCCGATGCCAAAAATTCAGAATATAAAATGATTATCAATTGATAAGAAGAACAAGAAATTTCTAAGAAATTCACACATGAAAATTCATGTAATTAACAAGAAAACTCTTTTTAATAAAACTTTGCTTGCTGTTTTAATTTTCATTGAGAAAATATCGATTTTTGTTATATTTATTCAATGATTATGCTCTGAATTGTGTTGCTACAACATGACATCAGATATCTACTTTGTTATACTTTGAGCTTACATCGGCTCTAAAAGCCTTAAAAACAAATGATTCTCCACTTAAGTAATGAAACATGTGATGAAAACAAAATATAAGTAGAAATGTGTTTTTATAAAGTTTTATTTAATACAAGTAAGTTATAACTTGCAATAACCTGAACTTGTGTTTTGCACACGAGACGAAATTTTTGGTGGAAGAAAGACGAGTGTCACGAATGTTCATAACTTTTCACCTGTTTTCATATTTGATTAATCATTTGTTATCGATAGATGACTTTCAAGTCGAATTTTCAGTTAGCAATTGAACAATTAAGTTTCCAAGTTTCTTTTTATTTTTTATTTATCTTATCTTATTAACACGAAGCAGAAGTAACAAAACCCGTGGACTTAAACGATTACAATAATGATAATGTCGTGAACGGACGTGAAAAAGTCTGAAAATGATAAAAAAAAAATGCATTAAATCATCCTGTCAATGATTATCGATATTGAGAATGTTAAATGGCCTAGAATTTCACGTGTCTTCATAGCTTTCAATTACTCATTCATGGATTTAACCTTAAGACGACTTATCAGCAACACTGACTACAAAATAAGTGTTTGGGAATAATTTAAACTGAAGATCCAAATAAATTCTGGATTTGAAGTTTTCTAAATGCATATTTGAAAGCACACTAGTGGTTTAATTTTTCATTATAAAATTTCATATGAATAATGCAGGAACAAATCACGTGTCTGTGAAAAGCTCACCATCAACGATATTCTCTTCAATTTATCATTGTTGTCACATTTGAGAATAGCAAATATCCAAAATATCTCAAACATTTGCCATGTGATAATGTCACGTGTTTAATTTTTTTATTTCTGAATTTCTGTGGTGATTTTCCATGGAAAATTTATTCTTGGAGTCTTTTGGAAAATGATCTGGGGAATCAGAAACAGATTTTTATTTGGAGATTTCTCATTATCGGAGTTAATTTGTAAGAAATAATTATAATTATATTTAAGAACTTTCCTAAATTGAATAATTTAATTCATGAGAATGATCGAAGAGAAAATTTGTTCATTGAATAATTTGATGTTGTCATAAAATCTTAATATTAAAGCCATCAAAGCGACACCAATACAAGACATGACAGATTACTTGATAAATAATTTGTTTTGTATACAAAAGCAAGTAACAACAATTGCGATAATCACAAAATTAAATCATAAACCAACCAGAAATCGCGTGATTGAGTTTTCAAGGCAGCTTTCGTATCGCAATAGCAACAAGAAAGAAAACTTTTAATTAACGAATATCGTTTTATGACACCTTACTTGTGTGAGTTTCAGATAACAAGAAATTCACTGAAAACAAGGTTCGTGAAATTTCTGACTTACAAGAGCTCTTTAACATATCACAAGTTGATAAGCTTATAAACCTTACTTGTGACTTTATTTATTTTCAACCCAGACAAACCAAATGAATTTTTAATGAAAGTAAGTTTATTTACCAATAAAACAACAAAATGTTTTGATAAGTTTTAAGTTTTACAGCCAACGAAATTTGCGAATAAATAATTAACCCAATCAATCAACCAGTTTTTGATGAAGAATTCTTTTATCTAAAAAACACTTTAAAGCACAAGACCGACGACAATTTCTGTGTAGAGAAATAAACGTACAAAGAATTTTAAATCAAAACTTGTCACATGATGTGTAAAAAATTTAAAATTTAAATCATGATATCGCAATTGTCATTTAAAAAGCTTTTAATCGGAAAATTTTATTGCTGATCGAAAATTTTAAAACCCTGTCCAACTGAGCTTATAATCTGAATATATTTTATAAACTTCAAGCAGTCATCAATTGTATTCACAACATTGTATGAGCTCTTGACAAGAGCAGACAACAAAGTTGATCACAAATGCAGAACTGCACGAAACGAGCGTTTCAAATTTTTAAATTTCAGATCAAAAACAATTCCCTCTTTTTACTCCTGTTTCAAGATTTCTTTTCTTGAATAAACGATCTTTTGGCGATGGTTATTTTTAGCACGATTTGGAAATATATATAAGACGGTTAAGGCCGTATGGAGATTAACTTTTTATCCAATAAAAAAAAAGATTGGCAGAGAACTTTTATTTAAAAATAGAAATTATATTTGACCATTCCGGTTTTGTTTCGCTTTTATTTTTCTCTGTTGTTGTTTTCACAAATTTTTTGCGTTGCCGAAATAATTTATCACTTGAAGTTAAACTGGTTGAGTATAAGACTCTTAAAGACTCTGTCTCGGTCTTAAGCGGCGTCAACAATTCGTCGATGAGAAATTGACGCAATTATGTTTATTGCCGTTTATTGCTTGTCCAATATATTTTGCGCCAGCACTTAACGAAGTTATGTTGTTTACGATGATGAAAATTCTTTGAATTGATTAGCAGATGAAACTGTGAATCACGCTAAATATTTACGCCTTCAGATATGTATATAGGAATGGGTGATTGATTTTGATTGGCAAATGCAGCACTGTAGAGCGGATATAAATTTGTCATTCAACTTCGACTGACATCGGAATGTCAGAATGTCTAGAATTTACATGAAATTCCGATCCACCATCGGTCAAAGCACCCTCAACGATAAACCAAACCCAAGCATTTTTACTTTTGAGCAAACAAAAACAATATAAATACAAATAAGATAAAAATGAAATCGCTAAACATGGATAAAATTAAACATCGGCTTCCAACACCAACCATCAAGAATTGCTCTTGTATTTATCTTTCAAACACGAAACTTTGAAAAAGGGTTGTAAACTTAGTAAGAAACTGCTGAAGCCACAAATTCAACCATCAAATCTTTTATATGTATAACTTGAGATCAACGAACTTGATCACGTCCCAAATATAAACATAGAGAATGGAATTTTAATCATTTATTATTTTTGCGCTCACCTTTTTTTCGGATATTGAAAATGGAACCCGGTATTGAAGCTGTCTATGCCTTTTTTACGATAATATCTATTTGAAAATGGTTTGTCTCTTCTGATCTCTACGGTTTGTCCTCAACACGAAGATAACAGTCAATGACCGTTCTATTGATTCGATACCAATTAACAAATTTTATGTCGCACGAGTTCGATGGCGCGGCAAAAAAAGCGCCGAATCGTATTTTTATTCAAATTCAATGAACGATCTTTTTCTTAATCGTCAATAAATATATTTCTGAATTTAGATGATTCTTTTCATTTTTATAATTCGATCTATTCGAAAAGTTCTGAAATTTTCATTAAGTCTTAAACTCTTCCAGACTTTTTGAATTATTCCCAATGCGATTTGTTGACAATAATTAAATGCGACTCAGAATTTTTTTTTGCTAAAATTCCAAAGTTCTCACATCATCGTACATAGTTTGTACAACAAAGTTTAGATGGACAACTAAAACACATAAATCAAGTGTCATTACTTCTAAATGCCAGTAACCACATCCTAACTTTTGCTCCCTTGTTAATTTTTCTGATCTGCTTCAAAGATACTACCAAAGGAATCGTCAAATTTCTGAGAAGAAGACAAAATTTGTTAAAAGAAAAATGTAAACAACACATTGAACCCATTTTATCGTCAAGTCAAAGCTGAATATAAATGAACATTCATTTATGTGCTAATTGATATTCCACGGTGATGTAAAGAACTTCTCGTGGTTGTTTTGCGACTTATAAATAAGTTTAAGTAAAGATGATTTTCTACATTAAATAAACAATGAAAACGGGAAATAATAAAAAGAAATCCGTCATCACGTGATTTTGATAAGAAATTGTGTTAAAAGAGAGTTCTAGTTGATATGTATTTATGTAGAGCACATTTTATTTACTGTAATGTGAACAAGGGAAAATTTCAATAAATAAACAAAGATAACAAAACCACATTAGAATTATTTTTGATAAATCACTTGTTCTCATTTTTGAAAAGCTCTGACGATTTATAGGAAAACAAAAATAAATTCATTGGAGAAAACATTTTTAAGTTGTAAAACGTGACAACATTAAATTCATTGCAGTAACGTGAGGATGGAACTAAATAGTTTGATAATTTATTTATTTCCTAGTTTCCTGTGGGAGTTGTTTCCGTTACTTTATAACATCACAAGTGGGAGTTGCTTCCTTTGGTCGTTATATTATTTATTTAGAATAAGAAAGCCGATCACGTTTTCCTTTTTTTCTTAATTTATTCAAATGATTCGACAAAATCACAAAATTTAGATTATAGGACGTTTGTTAAATTATAAATATACACAAATTAAATTACTAACACTATGGAAAAAAAATTGGCAACGTCAGTATAACTCATTTAGCTCATTTAAATGAAAAGTTTCGACGTAAACAAGTAACTTAATGCGAGTAAAGTAGCGACGAAAACAAAAATTAGCATTTCTCCCGAATCATAACACTTTAATTTGGTTTTCGAACTGCTTCTCATCGACCGACGAATTAAAACTCAAGATCCGAGTGGGAATATTTAATAAGCAGTTAAAGAGACTTGTTTTTAAAATCTCATTCAAATCAGAGGAATCCTATGAATTTCGCAGTTGATCTGATGTCGTTAACCGATCGAATATTTTCTGTTTCACTCTATTTTACTATAAAAAACAATCTATTGATTTAAATCACGTCTATTTGATTAAAAGATTAATGTGAAAATTTATTTTCCATATTATTATAATCTCGTGTTTGTTTCTGATCACATGCATCAGATCGTGGCTTTTCTAAGTCTTGATTAATGTTAATGTTTAAGTTTTTTCGTTGACCTTTTTGGCCTTCAACGTGACTTTTTGTTTGTTTCAAATTTTCTTATCACAACAGCGACGTGAAGTGTAGAAATCAATATTGGCATTTATGGTTATTTTGTGTGCTTGAAAATGTCTCTAATTTTAAGACTAATCCAATCAGCACGATAAAAAGACTAATTCAATCATGTTAAGCCACGTGAATGGTTTAATATAAACTAAAACACAATGAAGCTTCTAAATAGCTATTGCGGTTGTAAATGTCAATGAATTATGCAATTTTTCATGTTTTTACATCAAACTTTTCCGACAAATTATCGTCGGTTGTGAAACGTTTGCATTGAGTTTGCACATTTGTAATCAATTCTCTCTTGAGATAAGCTATCAATATTAACCATTTATAGAAATATTTTTCCAATAATGTATTTCAAGAACTAAAATAATTGAATGAAATTGATAAGAGTCTAATTGCTTTTTACTTAATCACGTTTCTAGGTTGTGCTTCTAAAATATTGTTCGATAACATTTGATTTTTTCTTGTTCATAAATATTTACACATAAATATGTTGCTTGTAGGTGTATATAAAAAAACATTCGATTAGCGACGAATCAAGAATAACTTCACATTTATGGGTTGATAAAACAATCAAACACTCATGTTTAAGCGTGGGCGAAGACTTTGATTTACATAATTCAACAGTGGTTCGTGATAAAAGTTTCTTATGGTAAATTTTTAGAAGTTTGAACATGCTTTGAAAGTTTTGTCCATTGATAAAAGTTTAAGTATGTCAAGAAATTCTTCCTAATGAAAATTATAAGTAGAAAATCTTGAAAACTTTCAATAATTCTGAAGTTCTTCTGAAAAGAGAAAAATGATTAAATCAATTTTAAAGGGGAAAGAAACCACAGTTGATCCAAAATTTTTGCATAGATTATTTGAAGAAAATAAATTTGATAATCGATCGCTTTATAAACCTGCATTGATTTTTGAGGGTAAGAAGAAGCTTTAAAAAGAATATTAATGATATCATTAGAATATTTAATCTTTTTCAGATGAGTTGGAAGAACGACAAACAACCTACTTTGACTTAAATCAAATAGCAAATCAGCTTGCTAGACAGATTCAAAATGTTGTTATAGATAACAATTTGCAATCCAATGGGAATGGTGATTGGGTTGTCGGTGTCTGCATGAATATTTCAGATTATCTTGTAATGACTGTGCTTGCAATTTGGAAAGCTGGTGCAACATATCTTCCAATAAACCCTCAATTCCCTCAAAATCGTATCGAACATATTTTACAAGAAGCAAAGCCTTCGATTGTAATTTACGATGATTTTTTTCTAAATCCCGAATATTTTCAATCAGCTTACAATGCAAAATTTGATACTTTGTTGAAAGATAGTGAAGATTTGAATTCGCATAACATTTCTGATGAACACATGCTGATTAAAGGTTGTCCAACAGCTTTTATTTTTTACACTTCTGGAGCTTCAGGATATCCACAAGGGATTCGAATACCTCATCACACTTTCTATCACAGAATTATGTGGCACATTGATTCACATCCTTATGGCGAATCTGAAGAAAAATGCGTGTTTCAAACTTCACTTGCATCTGTCGATCACGTTGGTGGAATTTTTTTGCCACTTATCTCGGGTAAAACTTTGATAATCGTAAGAAAAGAAATTGTTGAAAACTCGAAGAAATTTGTTGATGTTCTGGAAAAATATCAAATTGAAAGAGTTCACGGCGTTCCTGCTTTACTTCGTGAAGTTCTTATGTACTTAAATTCACTTGAAGATAGCGAAACTAAATCTAAACTTGCGTGTTTGAGAATGTGGATTTCATCAGGTGAAACTTTAACTCTTTCATTGGCAAAAGATTTCTTCAAATATTTTGATCACGGGCGTCAAAAACTTGTGAACTTCTATGGCTGTACCGAAGTCAATTGTAACATTTCCAGTTACGAAATTGAAACAAATGAACAATTGATGAATCTTGTCAGCATTCCACTTGGAGTTTCCTGTCCAAATACCATGATTTATATTTTCAATGGCGATAAACACGTTGCAAAGGAAGGTGACGTTGGCGAAATTCATGTTGCTGGTGTTGCTGTAGCAGCTGGTTATGTTAATGAAGAGACGTCAAGTCATGGCTTCATGAAAAATCCTTTTGAAAATGAAGCACGTAAGTTTCTAGTCAATTCTAAAATTTCTTAAAACTTCAATCTTTTTTGTTAATTCAACAGCATATTCAAGCATGTACAACACCGGTGATTTGGGATTCATTAAACAAGGACTTTTATATTTTGCTGGTCGGAATGATACACAAATCAAAGTTCGCGGTCAGCGTGTGGAAATTGCAGAAATTGAGAAGCATGTCTCCGATTTAAATTTCATTGAACAGTCAGCTATTCTTGTACATCATGCTGGTCACGTTGATCAGGCGCTTGTAGCTTTTGTGAAATTAGAAATAAATTCATCAAAATCTCCTACGGATATTGAAAATGAGTTGAATTTGAGATTACCACGTTACATGGTCCCACGAATTGTATTAATAGAAGATTTCCCGAAACTTCCGAATGGAAAAGTTAATCGAAAAGAACTTTTGAAAATCTATAAGAAACAAAGTGAAACTAATACAAAGTCTTATGACACTGGAATGGGATTAGAACAAATTCGAGACGATAATATTTATGAATCAGGTGACAAATCTCTTAACATGATGTCAACTATATCGAAATTAAACATGAGTGGGACTGAAATTGGAATCACAGATTTCTTAAAAGCTCAAAATCTTGGTGAACTACTTAATTACATTTCGGTGAAAGATAAAAAGGAAGATAAAAATATTGACGTCACACTTTTAACTGATATGAAGCTTTATCGTGTATCACTCAATTTTGAAGATCAAAAAGAATGCATAGATTTGTTAGCTGATTCATTTCTTGATAGAGGTGATCTTGATCGATTCATTAAAGACTTGAAACTTGATCATTATGTGGAAATTTTCGAGCGTGTTTGGCCTGAAACAGTGACACAAGGGTTAAGCTTCGTGGTGAAAAATGAAGCTGATAAGATTTTAGGTGTTGCATTATGTTATTATGCGTTGGATGAACCACCTGTCTATACCTCAAGTCCGTTGAAATTATTATTTGACTTTATAGCTTCAATTGAAGAACCAATCATGTAAGATTTATTAGATACAAATTCAAGCTCGATATACTTAAAACAAGTTCAATTTAATTTATTAATTTTGTTAAATTTAGAGAGAAAAAGATTGCTGAATCATTCAATCCACTCTTACACTGTTTGTTCATGGCAACAGATGAAAATTTGGCCACACGTGATAATATCGCCCTCATGTTGTTTCTGGAATCTGAAGTTATAAATACCGCAAAACAGAAACATTTTCGTGGAATTGTTACGACAAACACAAATTTGTTATCACAGCAATTTTCAGAATTGTTTTTCGACTACCAAACTGAATATGAAATTTGTTTGAATAAGTATGTTGAAATGAATGGAAATCGACCATTTGAGACTGCTGCTGATAACAGTAAAGCTTTAGTTATGTTTAGAGAAATTTCTGATGAATAAAATGAAAAATTCAATCAACAAGATTTCCAAAAAAAAATTTATTTTTATGAAAGGCAAAATTCATTGTATCAAATTTTATTTTAATATAGATAGATAGATATTTGATTACTGTTGAATCTTATTTCTTCTTAATTCAATCACCTGAATGTCTCTAATATATTGGTTATTCAATTGATATTGATAAATTAATAATTATAGAAAT